TGGAGTGATACTTTTAACACATGATATGATATGATCTGAGTTAGAGTAGTACAACTGAGAGCACTCACTTGGATAAAAATTATCATCTGATCATCGATCTGATCTCTTCAAAAAGGAAGTTTATTTGCTTAACGTCTTACTATAAATGACCACTTCCATGACATGCACGCTTTTGCTAACCCTTCTTACTTCTATGATATTCTTCGTAATTTAGCTTAATTATTCCCTCCATTTTACTAAGTTCTTTCTATTTAATTATGGTCCACTAACATATTAAAAAAATAATAATAAATAAAGTAATGTAAGTTGATAAATGTATTTAGTTTATGAGTAGAGAGGTACGAGTAGAAAAATTTTATGTAACTTCTAAACAAAATGTAAATAAAACTCAATGGAATGAAGGTGATATTTTATCCATTGTACTTCTAGGAAAAAAAAAATTAATATAGGATTAGTTTTTATTTTTTTTTACACAACATAGGATTAGTTTTAGGTGATGAAATATTTCATATTCTATGTTAAATTATTTTATTTTATTTTATTTTTTATTTTTTATTTTTTATTTATTTTATTAAGTACGTGTAGTATATGGTATATTAGGTGCAGAATGAATTGTGTAATATCCATGTGCATGATCGAAGCATACATTAAGCCATTATCGTTTTAATTGCATTTCAATGCTACCTCCCAATTAAGGCTGTGTGTTTGATTACACACCAACATTGCAGCTAATTGCTAACAAGTTTCTCAATCTCTTCCTGAATTGTTTTTCTCAATTGTTTGAGGGTGTCATTAATTAAAAGAAAATTAAAAATAAAAAACTTATTTACAATCACTTCCTTAATAATTGATTAATTACAAATAAGTGAAAGCAATTAATTTACATATGCACACACATACACCCATTACATATACTAAGGGTCTGTTCTCATACGATTATTTTTACTTTAGTTTAGTTCAATTCAGCTCTAATAAGTTCAGTTTAGTTCAGTTTAGTTCAATTTATGTCTAATGATATTGCTAATGATATAAAGCCAAATTTCATTATTTTAAGCTCTTATTTACAACAACCACAATAATAATAATGATGATGATGATGATGATAATAATAATAATATTTAATAATAATAATAATAATAACAATAAAGAGAGTGGTATACAGTTGGGTGGTTGGCTCTGTTTAATTTTGTTCCAGTTTTTTATTATTATTATTATTTTTTTAGTTGTGATAATTTTTTACAAAGTGTTTGTGTTCTTTTGTCATAATAATATTTTATTTTTTTAATTAAATAGTATATGTTTTAAAATGTTTTGGGGTTTCATGTTTTTAATATATTTTCCATAAATATTTTAATTATGTAGTATATTTTTTCTTAAATATTTTAATATGTATATATATATATACATATATATATATATATGTATATGTATATATAATCAAATATCACTAATCAGTAGTTAAAAATCACTAATTAATAAATTTAGTTCAGTTCAGCTGAGTTCAGTCAATGAGAACAAGCCCTAAGTATATAGAATTATGCATTGCAAATAAGTGATTGAACATTTTCAATCTATTATATATGTTAGTGGACCATTTCAACCAAAAGTTTAAGCTAATGGTTGAGGCCCAGGAATATGTTTTATACTCTATCACTCTCCCTCACATGAAAGGCCCTTTAAGCTTGAAATGTGGATGCAACACAGGCCCACCCATACCTGGTGCGAATTAATTCCACTTTGAAGGAGGGGCGGATGAGATTCGAACCCGTGACCTTTGTGTCACGCTGGCTCTGATACCATGTTAGTTAGGGGTGAGCATGGGACGGGTACCCGTACCGTTAACACTATCGGTTCGGGTACCCGATAACCAATAACACTAAAAATGATATCCATTACCCGAACCAATAAGTTCGGGTACCCGGATTTTCGGTTCGGTTATCGGGTACCCAATATGATATCCAATAAAAAAATTTAGACTTTATAATATAGTTATTATGATATCATTCAACACTAATTAGCAATAACACCACATGATCATGACCAAATTACTAATAATTACTAATCATTTAAATTATGAAGTGATTACGAAGTAAAATAATCGTTTAGATTTTGAATAAATAGATTTAAGTACGAAAAAAAAAGAAAAAATTGCTTATCGGAACGGATCGGGTAACCGTTAATTTTAAAATGATACCCGATAACCGTACCCGATAACAAATTATCGGATCGGGTACCCGAACCGTTATGGTTATCGGAACGGGTACCCTAATTTTCGGTTCGGTTACGGTTTGGATTTTTGGGTTTTCGGTTTTTCGGATAATTTTGCTCAGCCCTAATGTTAGTGGACCATTTCAACCAAAAGCTTAAGCTAATGGTTGAGGCCCAGGAATATGTTTTATATTTTATACTCTATCAATATAATTATGTGCATATAATAAATCCCATAGTGTCTTGGCCTTCCTCTGATCTACAAGGTTTAATTTTATTTTCTAGTCATGTTAGCATATTTAGGCCCTGTTCTTTTCACCTTAATTTTGCTGAACTGAAATTATTTTTAATGAACTGAAATTATTTTTGCTAAACTTAAATTATTTTTACTGAACTGAAATTATTTTTGCTGAACTGAAATTATTTTTACTGATTTTCTATTATAATTCTTCTTTAAGAAAACTGAATTTTACTGAATTGGACTTATTTTTTACTGAACTAAAATTAATTTTACTGAACTGAAATTAATTATATTGAACTGAACTTATTTTTACTGAACTGAAATTATTTATACTTAATATTATTTTTTTTAAGGTGAATAGAACAGGGCCTTAATCATTTATTTTTTAAATTGGAGAATAAGAAAGAAAATGGTAAGTAGTACTGTACTTGTGAATTGAAATGGACAAAATTAGAAGGGAATCGCCAATAAATATCAGAGAAACTCCTAAACAATGTTTTAAAAATAAACCAAGGAAAGAACTTATAATCATGATTCTGCCGCTTGATCAAACCTATGCTTGGGAATTCCTCCATAGTGACCAAGAAAACTAAAGATTATATATATTTGGAATTAACATACAAATATGAAGAATTGTAGCATGTTAGCGCTAAACAACCTCTACTGAGACAATGTAGATGGTGGAGATTCATTAAAAATTATAAAAATTAAATATGATGTTTTGTTCAGAGACGGGGCTACAAATGCTAACAATGACAATAGCCGGTGTAACTTTGTAAATTAGGGCCTATATCTTTGTATTTAAGATATGTGAGTTTTTTTTTTTTAACAACACACTTAACTAAATCATCAATTCTATGAAGAAATTGAAGATTAAATCAAATTATCAATAAATTTTTACTAAAAAAAAAACAAACAAAAAAACAAAAAACAAAAAACTTTTATAAAACGAAATATTAGATTTTGAGACTCTTTTAAGCGATTGTCCACCCTGCACTAATCATCCTTATTTTTATCCATTACTGAGTTTTTAAAGTTCATGTGGTCTATTTGATTAATTTAATCACTAGCAATAACATGATGATGATTGTATAGCATAATAAAACAAATATTGTTGGATGTTGGTATATGAATTAAACCAATTGAAGAACCTACATAAAGGAAATGAATTTAGGTCACGACAACACACAAAAACCCTAGCATTCCACCATCTTGAAAATCGAGGTCAGTAATTAATTGACTTTGAATGTGTTGGCTATGTCAGCCTAATAGACTATCGAAATTAGATGACATGTGCTAACATCAACATGATGTCATATTCATTTAATTGTTTTTGTTGAATAGTCATATACTATTATTTTGATTGTTTGATAACCATCATACTATAGAGAAAATGATAAATCCATCCATTAATGGATAATAACTTAATCGACAAGTGACAACTGACAAATTGGCAATTTAGTTGAGTTATTGTTGTGATGAAGTGGTATAAGATCTTTTACTTTGTTTCTTCTTCTCTTCGTCTAAATTTACCAGTTACTATAATTTAATTAATTCAAAATATAATTTATTTTTAATAATAATCCCAATATAGTTGATTTGTTCAACATAATCTCAACTTTATATGAATTACTTTTTCAGTTTTCTTATACTTGCAAAGTTGCAGTACACTTATTTTACACCTTATTTGAGGAAGTGTAGAAAAGGTAAACGAACAAGTTAAAGTTGTAGAATTTAAATCGTTCCAACTTCTTATAGGTTTTTTTTTTTTTTTTTTTTTTGAAATAACAACTTCTTATAGGTGGTAAACCTTTATTTCAATTAATTTGTTCATTTATTCATTCAAGAGCAAAAATTTGTTCATTTATTCATTCAAGAGCAAAAATTTGTTCATTTATTCATTCAAGAGCAAAAATTTGTTCATTTACTTATGCTACCATCTTCCTTAAATTGCCAAAATAAGGTGTTATAAATAAATAAATAAAATTGGAGGAAATATATTGAAACGATCCAGTCTACTAGGAGTGTCTAAGCTTCTAATGCATTGTTAGCAAAACATTTATTTACACTTACTTCCTAATTGTGGATGCCAACTATCTTACTCGTAGTTGGTTCAAGTCCAGGGGAAGTATTGGAATCCTATTACATCATTGCTCTTTGGTTCTCACTACACTAAAATGTCGGCATCCTAATTGAGTAAACACAGGTGGGAAATGTTAAAGAAAAGATGGTATCATTGGTATGTTCCGAAATTGGTGGTTGCTAGAGCAAGATGTTGTGGCTCATTGGTTGTGCAGACAAAGAGGTCGCTGTACATGGCAGAGGAAATCAAAGGTGATATGAAATCCCTATTAGTTGAGAATTGTTGTCAAATAATTAATATTATGAGCAAATTACGCTAAGTTGAGATTATTAATGTCAATTTTACTTTATATACTTTCAACGTGAATTTTATATTCAAACAGGAGTACTCCGATTCCAGAATAATAGAATATGGCATTTGTTAGATCCACAAAAGTTACTCCAGTTCTTAAGTAATGGTATATTGGTATGAGCAGAGAAGCAGCAAAATATTAAAAGGGTTGTAAATGTTCGGCAAGAGTCTGAAGACTTGTGTTATCCATTTTACACCTGTGGATTGTTGCTTAGTTAGAGTCTTACAGAATGACAGTCAGAAATTACAATGTAAGAAAATCTGAAATTTACATTGAGAATAGGGTACAATCAAGATGACGTTTTCCCAAGAGGAAACACGGTCTATAACATCACGCAACCTATACAACACAATTTATTACCAAAAGATCAAAGATTGGGTAATATGTGCCTGCAAAGTTGCCACACACAGCAATAATAAGCTTATTATACAGCTACATCGACGTTAAGACCACCACCTCCTGCCTTCTAGCACTGACAATCTGCATTCAAATCACTAGGTCAATATTGGCTTCAACTTGAGCAAGGATATTGTAAACTTAAGTAACAACAAATAAACCTGTGTTTCAAGCAATTATATCTCCTACCAATACAATTTTTATTTTTACTTTTTTTTGGTGTGGGGTGGGGGTGGGGGTGGGGGTGGGGGGTGTTACAAGATGATATTCAAGAATAGGTGGAACACGCTCTAATTCAGGGACAATCCTGACGAAGAACAAGAACAGTGTTATCAGAATTGACGCAATACCACTATACAGCTTACAGTACACATAGTAGTAGTACTAGACAACTCATACAACAATAGACCCACATGATATTTTAGAAAAACAACTCAACATATTCACATCTCTGGTCTGAATTAGTTTTACCTTTTTGTGATTGTCCTCAATGAATTAATTTTCTTCACCATCAATGAAGCAAGAACAAAGCAACTCAACTATCTAGGCAAGCAAGGAGGACAATACTAAGGCTATAAGCTATGCAGGAGAAGGCAGATGATTCAAAGGGTTAGTGGGATTGTATTTTACTGTTAAATCCAAAAACCAAGGTAAGCAATATGAAAGGGATAGTACAATTTGCAAATTTTTCTAGTAACCTAAAGAATGCATGAAACGAAGACCTAATCAGCAACTCTTCTCTTCATAGGTTTACTTTTTAAAAAAATAAATACCAGAAGGAACCTTCACAGCTGCATATGCTCACTGATAAAAATTGAAAGATTATATTGGCAACATGCATGTGATTGATCTAACATCCTCTGGCATCTACACTATCCTCCTCCTTCCACTAGCCACCAGTTCCCACGACAAACTACTATCCCAGTACCACAGGTTGGGATCAACACATAAACATTGATTTCTGGTTATGGTTTGCAACCTTTTTCATGAGACATTTTCCAAAAATCTCTCACTTACTAAACTCACCAATCACTTTGATAAATGCAATTCCTCTCCAACAACATAGCTCTCTCCTCAACTTTATAAAAATCAGCAAAGCTCATTGATAACAGACCATAATATCCACTTGCCTTGAGGTAATATAGCAAAGTTATCTTCATCCTTATGCAAGGAATAATTGATCACAAATTAAAAAGATTTGATGCTGATGAAATGCAATCTCCCAACTTGTGCAAATTTTTTACTGATGCTAATTTTCTGATCTCACAATAACTTTCAGAGCTAAACCTTTCTGAAATTTTCTATACTTCAATAGTTTGTTAAGGTAACAGTAATAATTCTTTTGCTGCAGATTTGAAATTTAGATTTAACACTTACAAGCATTTTAGTCAAGGAAAGTCCCTGGCAAGTGGCAACGGCACCATTTGACAAGAGTGCAATTTCTTATTATGGTCATATGGTCATTGAATGAAACCACTCTCAATCAAGACCTATCTTTTTGTCTCTAAGCCTTTGCTTTATTGACACTTTGTGGGGTAGCGTTTATGAGTTGGAAGGTTATGTATTGAGGTGAGGTTTCACTATCACGATGGAGATGCAAAAAGGAGAGAAATTCAAGGGTGAGCCTTTTGTAGGTTAAGGCATGAAGCTCAAGCCATTTGGGCATTTTGGTTTGGAAGAATAATTATCTCAGATCGTTCTATACCCCCAAGGCTTCGGCTATCCCATAATTAAAAATCTCGGTTGGCGTAATTCTCTTTCTACTTATCCTTTGATAATTAGCCGAGCATTCCAAGTTATTTAAAGAAATACCTATGGTGTCCACTTGTGGGGTGTTGATAGGAGTGGACGAGTGTGGGTCCTAAGGTTGGAGGAAGAGGTACTTCTTGGTTGGTTCCTTCTAGACATGATTAAGCAATTTCAATTTCAGCAAACTGCCATACAAACACCACAAAGATTATGTAATCACAACCCAAGCAAGGCTCACAACAATCTTCCACAACCCAACACAACCACTACAACAATCAAGTTCACAAGTCCATCCTGAAAAATCCTCCCACATACCACATTTTTACTCCCAAAGAGAGTAGCTAGCAACAATTTCCTTCAATCTACTTCAACAATTCATCAATTTAAACTGCATATAAAAAACCTCAATTGTCTACAAACCCTAACTTCAAAATTGAATTGAGGGTTCCTTTGAAGATTGATTTTCAAGCAAATTGGGTTTAGTATGAGCAACAAGCAAGCATCAAGGAAGCTAGGAAAGTACATTTGTGGATAAACCACCCACGGTATAAATTTTCCTACTCTCAACCTTGCTACTATTTTCATAGATGCCTCTTGCTGAATTATTAATGAAGAAGTTAATTTATTGTTGAATTAATGTTGACATTGATGATGTTATGGTTGTGAAATGATATTGTGAATTTTGATAGGTCGTTGTAAAATTGAGTTAAATTAGTGAATTTTGATAGGTTGTAGTTGTAAAAATGTAATGGTTCAAATGTCAGAACCCAATAAAATTAGTAATACCGCCAGTTAAAGCAAATACCACTCATTATTGCCGCTAATCCACATACTATGTCATCTTTCTCTTAGAGGTTGGAGCCTTCAACTCCCTGCCCTTAGTAATTGGTTATTACTTGGCAGAATTAATTGAAACCTTCTTTACTACTGGTTCGTGGGTGGTTCTGATTTCAGGTTTTAGGCATGGATTGTGTCTTTATTCAGTCAAAAGCTCACTTACCCACACTGATAAAAAGGACAGTGAAGATGTAATCAGATTTGTAATGGAAACTAAAGAATCAATTACTAATTTTTCTGTGCTCCAAAACCTTGAACGAAATAAAGGATATTTGGCTATTTGCATAAAGTTGAAAGTGCACCGGCCAAACACACGTGATTAATTTTTTTGTGCCTTGTTCTACCCTGGAGAATGTTCTCCAGGGACTTTTGCTCACTAGTATTATAATCCAGTACAAATAATGTCAAAGCTCTCTGCAGATGAGCTTCAACTTTTTATATACTAGCTGAAGTAACAGAAGCTAGTAGAATTAGATCCAAACAATACTGAAATACTAAGAGTGCAATAGGGAAGAAAATTAAGAATAATGATGGCAAAAAGAGGAGTTATAATATTATGTTTAGGTTCACAACAAAAAATAACAAAATAGCAGCAAGGTGTGATAATGCGTGAGCCCAAATTAATTGAGAGTTGCACCGTTAAAAATAATCCAAGTTCACGTTATATGGTCCAATCTGAAGCCATCAAGGAATAGCTGAGGATTGACAATTTCAAAATATAATTTAGCTTCTGAATCTTCTTTTACCAGCTCGAGTGGCACAAACGTCCACAAATATTTAGGAGGACCTTTTTTAAAGTACCACTCTACCATCTGTACAAAGTATCTCTTGCACTACCAATTCATATTGCACTATCATAATGATAGAGACACATAGTAATAAGTTATAACTGAAACTAAATAGCACATAAAAAAACAAAGACATAGGATAGGTGACAAAAAATGGCAATAACTTACAATATAAATATGAAAACTCAACAAAACAAGTTAACAGCTGAAAGATAATTTGTAAAAACTAAAAAACAATAAGTGGTCTTAAACCAAGACACAAACTAAGGACCTTAGCCTCAGAGTTCGTCATTTCTTGGATGGTTAATATGTTTATACTTCAATCTTAATTCATAATCAAACATGTACTTCTAGTTGGTGAATATGTTCAGAATTTTTCCTGGTAGATTTGGATAAGATACTAGAAAAAGGGACTAAAAAAGGGAGCTTAAGGATTTTCAACATAGTTTTGCACATAGTCTTGCACAAGGTAAGAATAATTTAAATTCACACCCTCACATCCACCCGGCAAATCTATTGATACAAGGGAGGGACGCTAACCTGTTTAAAGTGCCATCTCTGCTTGCAATGCCTCGAGCTCTTCCTCTTCAGCAGTTTTCTTCTGAGGTGTAGGGCGTACAGGTTGTTTTCCATCTGAAACATACACCGGTGCAGCAGGAGCAGTTGTAGCTGGCTGTAGAAGTTGCTCCTCCAATTCAGCACCTTCTAGCTCTTCAAGCTCGGCTTCTAATTCATCCTTCAAGAATGGGGGACGGGGTGAAAAGAGAAAAATTTGATGTCAAGAGTCAAGACAGTGCCATTAAAATTCTCATTAAAAAAAGATAGGATAAATTAAAGATTGTACCTCATCAAAATCAGCTGCAGCACCAATTGGAGCAGAGAGAGCTTCCTGTATTTGTTTTAAGTTCTCTGTCTGCTCATTAATCTCATCCATAGTTTGATCCACATTATCAATGTTTCTGGGAAAAAAAATTGAGAAATATTAGGGTAGAATTCTATTAATCACCTAAGTTCAAACGCATATCATGCTCTCTCCTTTAAATTATTCACAAACTTTCACATCTTATTAAAATGTGTGTACATTGTATAATTAGTTAAAAGTATATTACTCTCTATAACAATAAAATTCTCCAAGCCACAGACATTACCAATATTATTTTATAAGGAATTTTACGCATTTTAAGCATGCCCCTTACTACTTATCCCAAGTAAGCGGTAAGCCAAATCCTGAAACAAGTTCTCAAAAGAGCAAAGAGTAATACTTCCATCATTTTTTAATCGCAACGTTTGAAATTTAACACTATTCAGTATTCACACACACTCCCCTTGATCGTGTATTGTGATTAAAGCCATGGAAAAAAAATAGTCATATGGGATCATGTTAGATTTATCCCGAAATGAACTTTTATATTATCAGCTATTTATAATTTTACTACAACATAACCTAAGATATTTAAATTATAAATTGTGCATTGGCAAGCGTGAATTCCAAACGTTGCGAATGAAAAATAAAAAAAATGGAGGAAGTACATAATAGTAAAATGAATAAATAATAAAAGAACTAAGATGGCCAAAAAAAATTGGTTCAATAGAGTGGGTTTGTCATCTGTGCCTTTAAATGATAATTTATACTTTCAAATTACGATAACACTATCAAATTTTACTAGTCTAGATAAGCTGGTATCAAAAACTTGAATGAACAATCTACAACATACTTTACCCAGTGCTGATAATTTGTAATAAAGCTTCTTGGGGTCGAAAATATGAGTGGCTAGACCTTAATATTGTGGGTTATGAACCAGGGTTTTAGCACTAAGAAACACATCCAATCCACATTTAAAAGTAGACCCACGTTAACTCGACAGCAAATTTAAGGGAATACTTACGTTGCCTTTTGCATGGCCTTCATAGCAGAGGCACCAGACCTTAATGCATCAACAGTCTCTGTTGTTGCTTTGGCCCCTTCAAGCAATATCATCTGCAAGCCAACAGAAGCGACAAGAAGAAAACAAAGAAGTAATAAATATACCTTTCCCACTAAAATAATATAATTATAAACCAGACGCACCCAAACAAGGGAGAAAAGGAAGTGATAAACCCAGGACGCCTCAATGCAATGCACAAATAAAAGTACACTACTGTTAAACAGCTACATCACAGATTTATTTCATTAAAGAGGAAAAAAAGGCATAGACACTACTGAACTATGTCACATGTACTGAAGTCAATTGAGCAACCTGATCATGAATTCGTAGCTGCATATTTCCAAGCTGTTCTACTTGTTGTTCATATAGCCTCTTCCTCTTCAGACATGTTATAGCAGCTTCACACAAAAAACAGAAACGGGATCAGCACACTGTATATTTCAAGGAAAACAATAAGTTTTTTTTTAAAAAAGGATTGAAAGTTAATGAAAGGATATGAGCTAGAACTCCAAAATCACCTAGACATGGCAGACTAGCAGTATGATGGCAGACTGGCAGTATGGCCAGTAGTCCAGTACCATTCTAAAAAACATGTATATAAAGACATTCTTAATGCAAACTCAAACATTAGGATGTTGGAGGGAAACCCAACCCAATTCCTAGATTTCAACTACACTACAGGCATCGCAGAACAGGCTAGTACATTGATACTACATAAATTAAAAACTAAAATTAAAAAAGGGTAATGATATATGTAGCCCTTAGCGCTAAATATAAGCATTAAATATACTTCCTAAAATGGAATTAAGTAGAGAATTTATGACAAAATCACACGCAGTTCAGTGTAATTAATGTTAATTTATCCTCGGTATTTTTTTTTAGCTTCTTTTGGGGCTATGTTTATCATTTTCCTTACAAAAAATGGGAAAAGATCCAAGTCAACTAAGGAGGCATTTGGTTTTGAGTTCAGAAAAGGGAAAGGCAATAAATTACCCTAATTCCCTTTTACGTTGTTTGTTCGTCCAATTTAACCATCTATCATACCAAACGAACCGAACCCCTAAACCACCCCCAGTGACAATCCCACCACCGTAATCCATCCTATCCGACCCGAATCCACAACCCAACCACCCGAAACCAAACTCCAACCATCTAAACCACCTCACTACCACCAAAAAAATTCAACACCATCAAACTCCATCTACATCCTTCCAAAAACTCCAACCCTAAAAATAATTTTTTTAAAAAAAAAAAAAAATGGGAAGACCACCTTTTTATATTATTAAATATGGTATTGTGTGGTCAAATTCGACCATGATAACTCCAGATCTGAAGTTTTCATGTTTGAATTTGACCTTATAATCTTTTAAAGTAGCCCTTTAGATGAGATAATAAATAAGTGAGAGGAAGGTGTTAGCGGTGACGTGGGGGCAGCGGCAAGAAGAGGTTGGTAACAGCAGGAAGAGGGTCATGGCAGTGGCTGCGGAAAGGGGGGTAAAGGTGGCGATGGTAGGAAAGGATCAGCAATGATTCATAAGTATGAGAGTAATTGGTGGAGCGCAGATGAGAAGAGGAAGGTTTGTACGTAGCTAAATATAACCCAAACAGCACATTACATGTTAAATTAAAGGGTATCACTTTCCTTTCACCCTCCATCCCTTTCTTAATTCCATTCCTTTTACGCTGTGCGAACCAAATGCCCCCTACATTTGACACACATCTATAATGAACTATATATGTATAAATTATTTAAGTTGGAAGAGTATGGCAACAAATCATGGAAGTATAGAAAATGATCAATATAGATTATACAATATCACGCAAAATAGCACCAAAATCTAAAATATACCGCGTTTATTCTTTGCTCTAGTGAATTCCTTAGCCTTTTCTACCTCAGCAGCAGCCTTTTTCATAAGCACCTGCTCCTTTTTCTCCAACATTTCAAGAGTCTGCACATCACAAAAAATTGTATAAACCCTATAAGTACAATGAAACAAGAACATATTTTATTTAAGAATACCACCATGTAGATATGTAGTAAATTACTCGTAGAAAATTTTTAAATGACCAATATAATAAATTAATAACAATTGTCAGATAATAATGACATTCTCTTGTGCCAACATATCCTTAATATACATCTATTTCTCAGGGCAGACAACTTACAAGGATAAAGGCTAACAACAGGAAATAAATTAACTTTAAAAATCAAGCACCCAAACTGACCAAAAGATAATATGTGCTGATTAAGGTGCACTAAAATCAGTTGTAATTAAGTGGTGAAAGGATTTTGAATAGGTTCTTTTGCCTTTTTCAGTAATGACTTCGAGCACTCTCTCAAGCATGATTTAATACTAGCCAAAATTCATAACATTTTCCACAATAAGTTGAACACCAATTTTTTATTTTCGCACAGTTTGACCCTTGACAAATCAGTTAGCGGGTCTTTCAAAATTCAAACTATAAACCTATAATTATATTTGGTCACTTTCCCCTCAATCATTTACTTTATCCACACATTCATTTCAAAGCTTGCTGTAAGTTGATGTAGGAGATAGGCCCTTTTACATACTAGGCTAACTGACTGCTGTATTTTTTATTTTTTCACGCACTAATAATATTTTCCAATTGTTGCGTTTAAGTTAAAAGCAAAGTAAGCTAAACAGATTATCCAATCACAAACAGAATAAACCGATCAACTAAATAAGCAGTTGCAAGAATATTGGGTACAAATTAGGTTAGGCAAAGTGTGACCCAAATGTAATAATTACTCGAAATGAATTCCTAATTGCTAAACCCTACCTCTCACAGTCATTATGGGTTAGTAACATACTCTCTTCTCCTTCTCCTTCTCATTCCCCTTCCCCTTCCCCTTCCCCTTCCTCTTCCCCTTCCCCTGCATGTATATAATATCTCTTTGTCTCTCATTTCAGTTATTTCTTTCCTTAGCCTGAGCATCATCTTATTAAAATCTCACTAACCCCAGTTCATGTAACTGGAAGAGAAAATTTGGCAAAAATGAACCACCCAAAGGGAAACTCTGTTAAAGTAGCTTCAATAACTAGAGTACTAGACACAATGTGGCCCAGGGTGCCGAATTGTTGTATGACTATACCTCTTTCCTTCCTCTAGACCAAATGTTTGTTGGGTAATGGGTACATATACACCTAGTTTTGGCCTAACTCAACATTTAATTATACTCCATCATTCATTAGAATCAAAGGTCTCAATATTCTATACCTAATTTCAGAAGTACATATCGGAAACCATAGAAAAATGATTATGGAATCAATTGTGAATAAAATTATATGGGCTAACAAATTAAACCTTCCTATTCACATGATTATCAGGCATATTAGTAAACCCAAAATAGCAAGACAGTGATACATTAAGATGGCATTGAAGTGTTTCTGAAAAACCACACCTAGGTACTCAAAAGGTATTTGGCCAAATGCTTTGAAGGAAACTAATGTTTATCTGCTGGCATTAGAACTCTAATTATACCATTGGGCATCACCAAGACAACAATTCAATGGGTGATGGCTGACAATTGAATCTTTTTTTAAAGTTCCAGATTTGTCTTACTAGAGCAGCTCATTAACTTCATCACTGCATGACTATCTTGAGAAAAAGCTATTTGCATAATTGTCAAGTTGTTTAGAATAATTTGTTAAATATAATTGTAAGTGGTACATGCATAGCAGGCCATATCAGTATATTACTAAGACTTCAGAACAGGGTCAAGAAATTTTAGATTAGTAAAGGTATTTAACATGTTTATACCTCTGGAGCATTTCAATAACCAAAATTAGCAACTTAAGTGATGCAGTAGCATCCATGGATCCCTTTAGTTCAATCTGGCATATGAACTGAATTCCAGATGGTGGCATTTAGCTCTGAAACAAGTATTTTAAAAGGCTAATATAAGCTTATGATGTAGCTTAGGTGCATTGAGAATTAATCATGGCCTAAGAGAATGCATTGGAGCTTAATGAGGTTACTTTGAAGGCAACAAGTAAATTGAAAGTGAGAATGACAGGAATGCCAGTGCTTGGTTGTTACTCCCTTCGAATTTAAATAAGTGAAGTGTTTCTCTTGTGCACGTATGCCAATGCAAAAATTTGACTGATAATATCTTTATTTATCAATGAGTAAAAATAATAACTGAATAACAATGAACTATTCATTGAGACGATTTCAACAAATACCCACAAAGACTATATTTCTTATGTATAAATCACAAACATTAGTCAAAGAGAATTAGATGAATAGTGCAAAAGGTCCAAACTTTTAACTTTTTTAAATATAGGAGTAGTTAATGAGTCAATTTTGGACAGCAATATCTTCTTCATTACAATCATTTCACAGAGATTCCACTTGGAGATAAAAGTAGAGTTCGTCAGAAGCTTATATCTGACTTCAAACAAACAAGATATGACAGTTTGAAATTGAGCTGCTGAAACTGCCAGCACAAATGGCCAACCCTCAATACATTCTTCCCTTATTATGTGTAATGGAATGGGTCAACAACAAAGTCAACGAAGTCAAGAAGCCAAGGCAACCACCACTTTTGGTGTACTCAAGGCGCGCAAAACAGGGACAGCAGGGGTCAAGGGTGGTCAGAGACAATGAGCATCATAACAAAGCTAATTAAGAGAGTTCAAGGAAAGAAAGCAAGCTGCTATAACAATGTCATTAGATGGTGTTCCCATTCTTAGCTTAGTAAATCACATGTAGCCTTTAAGCTTGAGTATATGTAAGGTAGTAAGTCCAATTAGAAGAGTATCCAGAAATTTGAGAGTCAACATTAGAGAGTTGTAGCCTAAAGCTACTATGAGATTCATAACGTCAAGTTATGTTTATCCTTTGTAATTCAATCTTCAATCAATCAAGTACTCAAGCATTCAACTTTTAGTTACATTCTCTTGTTCGTATTTCCTTGTCCGAAATTAATACATAACAACTTGGTATCAGAGCGGTGGTCCTGGGCCGCCGTCACCGGAAACCACCACTTTCCAGTCAAAAAAAAAAAAAAAAAAGGAGACTAACACCTCGCAGAGGATGGAGGCCATGGAGGGAGCACTAGCCGATGTGAAAACCTAAGTGGCGACGATCGTGGAGAAGTTGCAAGTGCCCGAAGACAACTTATCACGAGCTATGACGATTATCGTAAAGGCGGCTATGGAGGAGGAACGACAGAAAATCGCGGAGGAACGGAAGAAGACAGAGGAGGCGGTAACGGCCGCTGTCGAAAAAATGGAGGGTCGTTTGGATCGCTTCCGCGTTACCATGGATACCCAAGCCGCAATTGATTGGCTGGAGAAGACGAAGAGGGACTACCAGCAACAGCAACCACCTCTTCCGCCTCCCGAAATGCCTGTATCGGAGAAAACAGCCCACCACTTGAGCTTGAGGGAGTGGCCACACCTGCTGGAGGGGGCGACCATTTGATGACCCTGGGTGGCATCCGCCTAATAACGGTGGGTAGTGCGGAGGAGGCTGGCGCGGTGGCGATGGGAGCCGCGGTGGCGGAGGCCACTGGAAGCACCGCAAATTGGAGATGCCCCTCTTCGACGACAATTGGACGGCGAGAGCGGAGATGTATTTTGAGTTTTATAAGTTAACGGAGAGAGAGAAGATGGAGGCGGCAGTGGTCGCGATAGACAGAGCCGCCTTAAAATGGTTCAATGGGAGCAGAAACGACATTCGTTCTACGGGTAGCCGGATCTCAAACAAAGAACCTTGAATTAGTTCCGTCCCTCTCACTCGGGGACACTCCATGAACAATGGCTTGCCGTTTCACAAGAAGGGGGATCGGTGGTGGAATATCGTCGGCGATTCATTGAGTTGGCCGCGCCGCTAGAGGATGTGCCGGAAAGTACCATGCTGGGTAGTTAATCCACGGGCGAAATTTGAGTTGAGGTTACTCAATCCTCCAAATCTTGAAAGAGCCATGGAAATGGCAGGGAGGATAGAGGAGAAAAATCGAGTTCAACAAGGAAAGAAGCCAGTGGATATTTGGAGGGGAGGACAAACAATTGGGCCTACAAACTCTGCCGACCCAAAGCAATGCATCCATGAACAAGGGTGGCCTCATAGCCTCCTCAGCCAGCACAGCAACGGGCACGGGCCGCCCAGAACATGGCCCAAGGCCTCGGAGTCCCAAGGGTCTGTGAACATGGGCCGAACCACACCAGGCCCAAGTCAAGGTCCCACCGGAGGAACGAGGCGGTTAACCGAATTTGAGCTAGTGGAAAGGAGAGCGAAGGGGTTGTGTTTCAAGTGTGACGAAAGGTGGGGAGTAGGACACCGTTGCAAGAGAAAGGAGCTTAGTGTGTTAATTGTAGCGGAGGGTGAAGTCGAGTTGGAGGTGGAAGCGCCCGAGCCCGAAAGTGATACACCGAGGAAACCAAGGAATGTCTTTATGTTCGGTGATAGGAATACATAACCCCAAGACAATGAAGCTAAGAGGAGTGGTAAAAGGGCAAGATGTGGTAGTCATGATCGACCCGGGGGCTACACACAATTTTCTAGCCATCTCGGTGGTGGAACAAGCGGCCATTCCCATCACTCAAGGAGGGGAGTTTACGGTTTCTCTAGGTAATGGAGATACCATTCGAGGAAGTGGGGTATGTAAGGGAGTTAAGGTTGAGTTAAAGGGTGGAATCACCATCACCGAAGATTTTTTCCCACTCACCTTAGGAAGTGCCGAGGTGATTTTGGGGGTTCAATGGCTCGAGAAGTTAGGAGCGGTGGTGACTAATTGGCGAACGCACGTGATGAAGTTCACTATAGGAGGTGTGCCGGTGACCCTTAACGGAGATCCTACTCTTGAAAGGACTCAAGTTTCGTTAAAAGCCATGGTGAGGGTGTTAAAGAAAGAGAAGCAAGGGGTTTGGGTTGAATTCAGCAATGTTAAGTCCAAAGAATTGGGCCCAATTTCCAGCAGCCCACATCCTTGTTTGGTGAAAGTTCTGGACCAGTTTCACAAAGTATTCAACATGCCAAGTAGGCTTCCACGGTTTCACCTAAGAGGGGCCATGAACATTCTAATGTTCTTAAAGATGGGGCCGACCCAATAAGTGTAAGACCCTATAGGTATACTGAAATTCAGAATGATGAGATTGAAAAACTCATCCAAGTGATGCTCGAAACCGGGATCATCAAACCTTCTTCGAGTCCCTTCTCGAGTCCGGTCTTGCTTGTTAAGAAAAAAGACGATTCGTGGATATTTTGCGTGAACTACCGAGCTCTTAACAATGAGACCGTCCCAGATAAATATCCCATTCCGGTGATCGACGAGCTACTAGATGAGTTACATGGGGCTACGATTTTTTCTAAGTAGGACTTGAAGTCCGGGTATTGTCAAATTCGGGTCTGACCAAGCAACACTCACAAAATGGTTTTCCGGACACACGAAGGATACTACGAGTTCCTTGTGATGCCCTTCGGCCTCACAAATGCACCGGCTACCTTTCAATCGCTTATGAATGACGTCTTTCGGCCCTACTTAAGGAAGTTCGTTTTGGTCTTTTGCGACGACATCTTGGTGTATAGCAAGGAGTTAGAAGAGCATACGGGTCACTTAAGATTGGTATTACAAAAGTTGGAGGAAAATCAATTATACGCCAATTTTAAGAAATGTGAATTCTGGAAAAGTGAGGTAGCTTATTTGGGTCATGTAATTTCCAAACAAGGAGTTGCCATGGATGAGGATAAGGTTCGGGCCATAATGGAGTGGAGCGTCCCTAAAAATCTCCGGGAACTTGGAGGGTTCCTAGGGCTTACCGGCTATTATCGTAAATTCGTCAAACATTACACCCAAATAGCAGGTCCTCTCACGGCTCAATTAAAAAAGGACAGTTATGGGTGGTCAGAGGCGGCGACCACGGCGTTCCAGAATCTGAACATTGCCATGACCACAGCCCTTGTCCTGGCCGTACCCAACTTCAGTGAGGGTTTTGTGGTGGAAACCGATGCCTCCGGCTTCGGGCTAGGGGCGGTGATGATGCAGCGCGACCATCCGATTGCTTACTACATCAAACTCCTAGGTGTCCGAGCTCGGAGTAAGTCAATTTATGAAAAAGAGTTGATGGCCATCTCGTTGGCGGTGGCAAAGTGGCGCCACTACCTATTGGGGTGGTCGTTCGTGGTTCGTACGGACCAGTAGAGCCTCAAATATTTGATCGAGCAAAGAGAAGTCAGTGGGGATTATCAAAGATGGTTGCGGAAATTGGTGGGATTTGATTTTGTCATCCAGTATAAACCAAGGTCAGCCAATAAGGTGGCCGACGCTCTGTCTCGCAAAGATGAAGCAGTGGTTGGTCGTTCGTGGTTCGTACGGACTAGTAGAACCTCAAATATTTGATCGAGCAAAGAGAAGTCAGTGGGGATTATCAAAGATGGTTGCGAAAATTGGTGGGATTTGATTTTGTCATCCAGTATAAACCAGGGTCAGCCAATAAGGTGGCCGATGCTCTGTCTCGCAAAGATGAAGCACTTTCAGGGAAATCGTCGGGGAAGAAGAAAGAAGATGTGAAATTGGAGTTTGGGGCTTTAGTCCAAACTTGTTTTGTGGACTGGCTGAATTGGAAGGAGAATTAGAGAGGGATGTTGGGTTGGGCCACATCGTGTTGGGCCTGAAAGAAAGAAAAGAAGGGCCTAAGGGTTTTCATATTGAAGGCAACAGACTCTTTTATAAGAATCATGTTGTTTTGCCTAACACTTCCAAATATATTCCTTAACTTTTGCAGGAATATCATAGCTCACCCATTGGAGGACACGAAGGTGAAGTGAAGACATACCTCCGGCTTGCCACCGATTGGTTCTGGGCCGGAATGAGGAAGGACGTGGGAAAAATTGTTCGGGAATGTGACGTTTGTCAGCGAAGCAAGATAATTACTAAGAGTCCGTTCCAGCCACTTCCGATTCCCGAGGCCGTGTGGGAGGACATTTCAATGGATTTTGTGGAGGGTTTTCCTTTGTCCCGGGGAGTAGACTCGGTGCTAGTGGTGGTAGATCGCATGTCGAAATACGCCCACTTCATTAGGCTTAAGCACCCTTTCAACGCTCTCAAGGATGCCTTTGTCCGAGAAATTGTCCATTTACATGGTTTTCTGGCCTCCATAATTTCTAACCGCGATCGAGTCTTCATGAGTATCTTTTGGCGCGAGCTCTTCCGGCTACAAGGGACACACCTTCGACGGAGTACGGCCTATCACCCCCAAACCGACGGCCAAACGGAGATAGTGAACAAGAGCCTTGAGACTTAGCTCCGATGTTTCATTGCGGAACAACCTAAGGGGTGGGCTCGTTGGTTACCGTGGGCAGAATATTCCTACAACACATCACCCCACACTTCGACAAAGATGACCCCATTCAAGGTCGTTTATGGTCGTGACCCACCGAAGCTATGGCGATTGGGGGGAGTCATGAAAGGGATGGAATTTTGGAGGAATTGCGAATGAATTTGAATCGTGCTCAACAAGTGATGAAGATAAATGTTGATAGACAGAGGAGGGAAGACAAGTTCGAGGCCGGAGAGAGGGTTTTAATCAAGCTACAACCTTATCGGCAAAAGTCTCTAGCAAGGAGGCCTTTCAAAAAATTGGCTGCAAGATTTTATGGCCCCTTTGAAGTGATTGAACAAATTGGCAGGGTCGCTTATAAATTGAAGTTGCCAGCACATTGCAGGATACACCCTGTTTTCCATATATCGCAACTTAAGAGAGCCCTTGGCAGCACTCCGAGTCAACCCACCATCCCTAAGCAACTATCACCTGATTTGGAGTTAATGGTGGAACCGGAGGAACTCCTCGATGTGGGCACAGTACGGAAGGAGTCTATGTTCGTGCTCGAAGTATTGCTTATTTGGAAGGGGTTAACCGATTATGAGGCTACATGGGGAGGAGTTCGAAGCCGTCAATCTGCGTTTTCTTACCTTCCACCTTAAGGACAAGGTGAAACTCAAAGGGGGGAGTGATGTAATGGAATGGGTCAACAACGAAGTCAACGAAGTCAAGAAGCCAAGTCAACCACCACTTTTGGTGTACTCAAGGCGCACGAAATAGGGACAGCAGGGGTCAAGGGTGGTCAGAGACAATGGGCATCGGGACAAAGCTAATTAAGAAAGTTCAAGGAAAATAAGCAAGCTGCTTTAACAATGTCATTAGATGGTGTTCCCATTCTTAGCTTAGTAAATCACATGTAGCCTTTAAGCTTGAGTATAAGTAAGGTAGTAAGTCCAATTAGAAGAGTATCCAGAAATTTAAGAGTCAACATTACAGAGTTGTAGCCTAAAGTTACTATAAGATTCATAACCTCAAGTTATGTTTATCCTTTGTAATTCAATCTTCAATCAATCAAGTACTCAAGCATTCAACCTTTAATTACATTCTCTTGTTCGTATTTCCTTGTCCGAAATTAATACATAACATTATGTCACCTCTCCTCTTTCACCTCAACCATTTCAAATTTAACTATTCCACCCTCCTTTCATTTTATCGTCGACACTATTCATCAGCAAACAGCGGTGTCCAGAGATCTCTCCGGTCATGAAATTTACTCAGGTTAAGCTGCTTACACTTAAACTTCCCTTAGAGTATGCTTGGGAAAATTACTACTCAAAATAGCAAGGAAGCAGAAGTTACTACTAAGTAGCAATCTCTTAATAAAAAGGCCTTTCTAGCTGTCTCTTTTATTTCTGTCAATTTAAGCTAAAACCTATTTCCTAGTGTAAATAAAAGGTTCCCTTCACACTTTAACACACACCAAGCCCAATAAATAGACTGCCGAGCAACAAGGGAAACATAGTTTGCTTCTGTAAGATTTAGATTTAGATATCAATCAAATGTATAATCCCGCACCAAAAAGTTTCTTTTAAGGATCAACTCCTGACTAATCATTATCCAAATTTCAGATTGAGGTGCAAAATCATCAGATGTAAACTTCCTCTTTCATTGTCAAACACCATTGCCTCTAACTAATGCTTGTCTCTACATTTCCACCATTTGCGGCTCATGCCATATTCTCACCAAGACCTAAAACACAACTCCACCATAATCTGATTTGTGGTTCATGCAATAATCGGTTCCTAGTGTAACACAAAGGGTTAAGCATAGACTAGAAAGTGGTGTGATTTTGTTTCATGATGACAAAGGTGCATAACTAATTTTCATTTCCAGACCTTTGAGTGAAAAATCTAATTATTTGACAGTTTGACACAGATAAGCAAATAACATCTCTTGTTGTTTTTTCCCTAAGACATTGCAAAGCAAACAACTTATTAGGAGTTATTACCTTAAATCCACCCCACTTTCTGTAATTAATTTGACTGGGTGTTGAAATAAAAGTGAGAATTAGTTACCTCATTCACAAAATTATTTACAAAAACTTGTACATCAAATTGGTTTGTAAACTCATAATTGTTGCTCAACTTTATAAGTTCCTAAGAATTAAACCAAAACAGAAATTCCCATCGAAACAGTCTACGTTCCTCTAACCGCCCCACGCCTTGTTAATCCAGAGAATGAATCAACTCCACTTACAATACAACTCACAGAAGTACAATATCTCAGGACAATCCACTCAACGCTCGAATCAATAAAAACATGACGCCCGATTGCAACAAACAATTTCTGCTAACAGAAAACTTGTTGACTCATTCACATCCTCAAAAAATGAACAAAAAGTAGTAATAAAACTGAACACACTTGATATTAATCCAATAAAAGTATCATATATTTCAGCGGTAAAATACCAAAATCAAACACCCATCTCATCAATCAACAGAAGAAAAACAATGAAAAGATTCAGCAATAGCAAGCGATCGAAATTTAAAAAAAAAAAAAAAAATTGCATAAATGAAATTAATTAATTAAACAAAAACAAAAAAAAATCATAAGAACAAACCTCACTCAATTTATCCAAAGTAGCAACAGCACTCGTTGTACCCTCCTTGGGTTTGCCGAAAATCCTCGTAAACATGATTAATTAATGGGGTTCGATCCCTAAAAAACCAATGAAGAAAACCCAGAAAAAGGAGAACTAGATTTAAAGCGGGAGGAAACCGCGTAAATTGGGAAAATGGGGTTTGATGAGAAAAAATTGATTGATTTGATCAATTATGCAAATTTCTCTGATAATATGAATCTTGAAATGGTAGCAAAATATATTTTTCAGAGAAGCTTTGAGAGGAATTTCAATGGAGGAAAGTGGTATAATTTGGGGTATTGGTTGGCTAAACAAAGCTAAAAGCAAACTATGAGAGTATTTAAGAGAAGGGAGTTTTATTTTTCTTTTTCATTATTCATTCATTGTCAATTTGTCATCGCTCGGCGTAAAAGAACAAAACGAAGCAAATGAGAAATTTCTAAAACTAGACTAGATAGTAGATACTACGGTCCATTTTACTAGTAAATTTGAGGGTGATTGGGAGGACGAGGCAAAACTTTTAAGGGGTGAATTAGAAAAAGTAGGAGTATGTAATTAGGAGAGTAAAATTGGAGAGGATTGTTGTGGTCCTTTTTTTGACTTTTTGGACCTATTGTACTTTTGTGAATTAGTGGGAAATTCCCACCCTTATTTCCTAGCAGGGAGTGGGAAATTTTGTTCCCATTTTGTTTCCCTCCTAAATTTTCCCCAAATTTCAGACTTTTTACCAAGTTCCCCCAAAATTCAAATTTAACAATTCAATTCAAACGAAATGCCCTATATAAAAGCAGGGCATCCCTTCCAATTCCCCATTTCAAAAGATCAATTTCAAGGGAATTGGGGAGGGGGGAGGATAAATTCAAGTACGATTACATCAGAAATTACTTTAGTAAATCTAAAATACAGGCAGCCCTATCAAATTACAACTATCTAAATCTAGATAAGTTAAACCCTAATTCCTAAAGATGTGTTAGTAGATGCAGCTCCATTAATTACAGGAATAGGCTCCGTTGAAGACCGTCCAAAAACCACCAGCCGCCACTTCATCACCAAAAAAACAATCCTGAAAAATAAAAAAGGGAAGGGACTCATGGCAAAGTTCATAGATGAACTTATGGATGAGTTTATTCAACCGCAGCAGCTCATGGAAGATGAATTGAACGAAAAACAATTCATCAATGAAGAGTATCAATGGTCGCCAGATTCAGATCAGGAACAAGACCAACAACATGAAGATTATGATGTAGATGGATATGATGCAGATGATGATGCAAACCAAGAAGAGCTACAGCACTATGTCAGAGCAAGCAGAAAGATGACAATAGAACAGAAAAGAGCAATTGTTGATGAGATTATGTTGCACATGGAGGGGGACTCACTGCCAAGAGGTTTTTTAGCCAATTTGGTAAGAAAACATTCAGTGCACAAATCTACAACAACAAGGTGGTTTCAGGTAATAAAACATTCTCTAGCACAAGGTATTGTTGTTGATGTCAATACAAAAAAATTAGCCAGGACAAGACGCAAAGCAAAAGAATACACAGATGAGTTCTTGACTTTAGTACCATTTTACAAAAGAACAACTGAAAGGGGATATGCTGCTGCACTTAAAATTCCCAAAACAGCATTGCATAGGCTTAGGCAGTAAGGCAGGCTCAGAACACACAAAAGCACAAATCACCCAGCATTGATAGAGAAGCACAAAGTGTCAAGATTAAAATGGGTTTTAAGTCTGATACACCCTATACCAGCTGTAGGGGACCCACATTCACTGATTTGCAACAATGGATACATTTAGATGAGAAATGGTTCTACATTAATCCAGAAACAAGAACCTTCTACCTACTGCCTACAGAAGAAGGTCTATACAGGGCACAGCAATCAAGGAGGTTCAAGATCAAAGCAATGTTTATGGGAATGATAGAGAAGCCATTGTTTGATGATGAAAACAACATGATACATGATGGAAAATATGGTCTTTTTCCTTTTGTAAAGTATGAAATGGCCAAAAAGAAAAGCAAGAACAAAGATGTAGGGACTCTAGAGACAAAGGCAATCCAAAGTGTCACAAAAGAATGCATAAGGCAGATGCTGCTAACACATGTCATCCCCACAATCTATGAGAAATGGCCACAAAAGCTACCAAAGGACATCATCATACAATGGGATAATGCTAGGCCTCATCAGGTGCCAAAGGATGAAGAATTTCAAGCGGCTTGTCATGCACATGGGTTCAACATTCAATTCATTTTCCAACCAGCTCAATCACCAGAAACAAATGTTTTAGATTTAGGCTTGTTTAGTGTGATTCAATCATTACAATATTTATCATTTCCAAGGAATCTAGATGAATTAATCAAGGAAGTTGCTAGAGCTTTTGAAGAATTTGATCATATATTGAACAAGTACACATGGATCACACTTCAATCATGCATGATGAAGATACTAGAAAAGCAAGGTGGTAATAACTTCTCTCCCCCACACATGAAGAAGAGAAGCTTGGACCGCCAAGGTCTACTACCACAACTACTACAAGTTGACAGGGATCTCATTGCTCAGGTAGTGCATTTTTTGGACACAGTCACAATTACAAGAGATGATCAAGGGCACATGTAAGTAGATGCAGACTGATACATGTGCATTACTTTTGGAAGGATAGTATTAGGGGACTTAAATTTGACTGCCACACATAACCTTTTCCTTTTCAAACAACTTTTTGAGTTAGATTATGTGTTGGTTATGTGTACTTTTGGTAGATACGAATGGATCATTTATTTGGCATTCATGTAATCAGTAAAGTTCATATCTTTTGATTAAACAAACATTTAAATATAGAAGTGTATCTGTGTTTATTTTTTTAAACCTATTATTTCCATCAGAATGGGTGTGTTTTCAGTCAAAGCTTTAGCGAGTGTTGGTACCTCAACAAAAACCTCTGTGAGAAGGTTTGTGGAGCATCCAGACCACCCAAGTAGCTATCAGATGAGTCCCATCATCATATGGAAAACCAAAAGGGATATGCATTAACAAAAAAAGAACTCAATGCATGAATGGCAGAATACAAGGGACAAAATTCAACACCTTCATGGCTTCCATGCAAACTAGGTCAAGGTCGACAAAAACAGCAGGGGACTTAGATTCTACATACATGGTAGAACAAACAACTGTACAAACAAGCAATGCAACCAACATATAGCCAAATTTCTCATAACTTCTCCAGCTCAATCACATAACCTCTCCAACACCACAGAACCAACAAATGCAAACCAAACCAGTATATTACCATAAAACAACCTACATGTCCAAACACAACAGTTTTAACACAAACAAACATCAACTTTTATCAAATACCAGCATCCCAAAACACAGAGCCAAAGAAAATTAACTACTCACAGATAATCCAACAGTAATGCAACAAATTATTAGGTAAGCAAAACAACTGCAGCAACATCCAACGAAACAAGTTTTCAACAAATAATTTCACAGTATATGCATAAATAGAGGAGCATAAAAAAATTAGGGTTTATAGAGTATACGCTTCGCATTCAATTACGAGGAGGGTTAAAACGAGGGTAGTAGATCTGCAGGTAAGCTTCAATCACTTCCACCCTCGTCATGCCGTTCGGAGGTCCAGATTTGATGTGTTTAGCGCCGGAGGAAGGCCCCTCTTCACGGTCATGGGACTCTGGTGGCTTAACCACCTCAGAAACCTCCAGATCTACTGGGTAGACTCCCCGGTAGCAGATCCGGTAGCAGACACCTCTACCTCAGTCACTGGAGAACCAGAAACCCCAGCAGAAACCCCAACAGCAACCACGGAACCCTCAGCCGTAGGAACCACCTCAAATGGTGGTTCATCATGGGACGCAGCCTCTGAGACCACCACCTTCGGCGTCTCCTCCTCATCGCTGACATACTCAGCGATTTTTGCCCCTCGAATTAGCCTCCTCGCAATCACAGAAGCACGGAGAACGGGTTTCATGTTACTCGTTCCACGCTGGGGCTTGTAGGTGACGCTCCCAGATTGGCGGCTAGAAGCACTAAATTCTAGGGTTTCATGGCAAGTTAGGTCTAGGTTTTTGTCGGTAGGAGAAGCCATTGAAGGAGTTCACAAGTTGAAACAGAGAAAGGATGAAGAGAGGAACTATAAAACAACAAACCAGAGAAGAGAGACAGAGAGAGAGAGAGGATGGGAATCGGCGAGTGAGGAGTGAGTAAATAAAAACTAGGGTTTTTGTAGGAAGGATTTATTCTGGAGAATTCTCCAAAATAAATGAACTCCACCAATTTATCTGCTGAATTGAATGAGGAGCATTCAATTGAGGTAGTTGGGGAGTTGTTGAATTTGAAAGGTTGGGGTATAATTTTGGTGGGAATGATTAATTTAATTAATCAGTTTTGTTTTGTAATAAGATAAGGTTAGTAGTTTAATAAAGTTGAATTAAAAAAAAAGTAAGGGTAAAATGGTAAATTTTTCTTAAAAACATTACTAAAAAAGGAAAGATATGGGAAAGTTGCAAGTAATGTGGACCATCCCAAAAAGGAAATAGTTGCAAGTAAAATAGACCGGAGGTAGTACTTGTTTCGCCATGCATCTGTGTTAATGTACGCGGAAGTACTAATACAATTTTGTTATGCATTTGCAAATGCATAATAAATATAGAAGTATTAAAAAGTACATGAAAGAGAGAGAAAGGAGGATAGAGATAGGTAAGTGGGACCATTTTTAAATATACCACTGAAAGCTTATATAATACTACTGTCTATTTGTGATATTATTCCTACACGTAGTTAGCACCATTGAATGCATATATAGTACCAACACATACATATATTATACCACTGAATGTTCAATGATAGTATTTGATCATCCAATACACAATGGTCCTACTCTTAATTCAGAATATACATATACGTGTAATTACACTCTTACCCCTTGTCTGCATTTCTCTATGTATAACGAAACTCCATTAGGACAAGCTCGTTAATGTACGGAATATGCATATCATATATCATATCATATCACTAATATCCTTGATTAGATACTTATTCCATCATATCATATGTATTAGTATCCTGGAAGGTATAGGCGGTTGTACTTTACTTGGTACAGACAAAAATCGCGGAAAAGAACATATATATGTTTTGTAAAGCACATACAACTGTTTTGTAAAGGATATCCATTTTTATGTTTTTTTTAATCTAAAGAACATCTGTAATAATAATGAAGAACATGATAATAATATGTAATGAACATGATTTAAAGACAAAATTCAGAGAACATTTCACAATAAGCAATGAATATTATATCACAATTAAAAATACATTACACTGATTATCAAATAACATGGCCATATATTTTTTTTACTTTAGGTATATGTTCATTACATTTTAATAATATGCTCTTATTACTACAGCTGTATGTTCTTTACATTTGTATAACATGTTCTTCTACGAGAAATGTATGTACGATGCACCGTACAGGAAGCAATATTTTGTTACCTACAATTCAAATTTTATCAAGCAAAACTTGGTAGTTGGTGGGAACTCACATTGTGACTTTGAGTCACAGAGTTCAAACTACAAAATGCTTGGAACTAAGGGATTCCCTTACATCCCCCTCTACTTTCAAGCAATGACCTGCAGAGTTGGACTGGCTAAATCTGTGAGAGGTGTCAGCTCAATAGGGTTTTTCATCAATATAATTAGGAAAAATTAAAAAATAACTCAAAATTTGATTATAACACCACAAAATAAAAAACTTTTATTATAACACCACAAAAAAAAAAACCAAAAAATTGGTTTCACCACCACTTAATTTTTCCATCCAAAAAACCGTTAAGTGGGTCCCACACGGTACATGTGTCAATCATCTACTAGAAAGAAAAAAAATTAAAAAAAAAAGAAATCCCTAAAATGCTAACCCAACCACCACCTCCACCAACGGCGCCGGTTACCACCGCCGAGCCCTAGAACCACTGAGCCTTCAAAATAGAAGCCGATCTACCGTCACCCATACCAACCCCTAAATCGTAGTCGCACCTCCGAAACCATCGTCGATCCGCCTTCACCCATACCCAACCCATGAACCTCCGAGCTTTTGAAACCGTCACCGATCACGATAACACCAACCTAAACCAGCCGAAACCCCGGCCTACACCGTCGTTGAACCACCGAAACTCCAACCCACACCCATACTTAAACCCAAAAACCGTTCTACTCCTCTCACCCAACCTCACCCTCATCCTCACCTACACCCAAACTCGTGCCCATAAACCAAATCAGGGTTGAGGTTGTCAGGTTGGGGTACGGTTGGGCTTGTTTAAACGGTTGAGGGTTGTCGGCTGATAGAGGAATAAACTAGTCGTTAATTGCTTATCCCAAAATCAAACACTATTTATAAAATCCTAAACCAACCTAAAACAAGTATAGGTAAGTATAGGGTCGAACCCAAAGGAGTTAGTTGGTGTTCTCTTTAGCCTAAATCAAGCTATTTCGGAGATTGAAATGAGAAAATGGTTGGTGTTATGATAGAAAAATTAGACTAATCAAGTAATTCAATAAGCTAAATGCTAGGGATATTGGTTCCACATGCTAATTCAATAATCGTGCTAATCGACAATTTCTTCGTTTGATTCAAGCATTGCAAAGGACAAACAATAGTAGAAATCAAGAGAATTCAAGAGCTATCTCCTAGAGGCCAAAATAGGGGTCACTATGAATGGCTAATCAAGGAAATTCACAATCAAACTCAATCAATTAAAGCAATTCTCAAATTGATGGGTCATGTCATTAAGAAATGCAATGCAATCTAGATTAATCTTATAGGTTGATCATTCCTAATCTAATTAATCACATGCAAAACTATTTCAACCAATTTAATTGTAACAATTCAATCAATCAAAGATCATCAACTAGCACAAATTATCAATCAAGCATGCTTCCCCTTCTCCCTAACAACTAATCTACTCACTAATCATTGTGTAACTCAAGAACAAATCATTAGAATTAGCATTGATCATCATTCTAAATCAAAATCAAGAGAAAGCAATATCAACTACAATATCCAATTCAAATCCAAGCAATACAAACAATCAAAGATGAAACTAAATCAATCAAGTAAGAGATGAACTAGAAGAAGAAAATCTTACTAACATTAATGATTGTAAATGAGGAAATCCAAGCTCAATTGATCCAATGTTGAAATACAAATCCAATACCAAGAACTTCTCTCTAACTTCACTCTAAAATTTAGCTAATGAAAGTTATCTAAAAGTTTTTTTTCAAAAAGGAATTACAAGTGTATTTATAGGCAAAGAAGAAAAACGAGATTCCCGCACCCTCTCCAATAAACCCCGCGTCCGCGGAAAAATGGGTACGGAACCCATTAAAAACTCCGCGGGCTTTCTGGGCAACACTCGCGCCCGCGGGTCTTCTAGCCCGCACACGCGGTAAAAGCACCCGCGCCCACGGAAAAAGCGCGGCGAATCCCCTGCTCCCAAAGGGTGATTAGAGGGCCGCGGTCTCTCCGGTACGAGCGGGCTCTCTAAACTACCCGCGCCCGCTGCAAGACCGCGACCAGACCGCGGAGAGTTCCTGGTCGAAATCTGCCAATTTGGTGCATAAGAGCCCGCGCCCGCGGCCTTCCGTACCCGCGCCCACGGCAGACTGGCAGGGCTTGATGCCCTCTCCATGCCCTCTCTGAGCCGATTATTTCCTCCTTGCTTAGTCAATATAGCCCATCTTCATTCCCTTGCAAAGACAAATCCTAGGTACCTACAAGAACAAACAACGAAAAGGAATAAAAGGGAAAAAGAACCAAATAAAAGGAAAACACGAAGAAAACACGAAAAACACAAGGAAAGAAAGAAAGAAAGGAATTAAAGGAAAAAGGACCAAAAATAAGATAAGAAAGCATAAAAAGGAAGATGAAATCATCCTAAAAGACTACCCTATGAGTGCCATAAATGACACTCATCATCGGCTAGGCTGGTTTCATCTGTCTTGGGTGATCGGTTAGGATTGGGCGACGGCGGGCTGGGTTGTGCTGACGAAGGTGGGAATATGCGCCGGTGGTGGCTGAATTAGATTTTAGGGTTCTTTTTGTTTTTTATTTAAGTTTTTTTTTCAATCCAATAAATAATTGACATGTGTACAATGTGGGGCCTTGACGAGGGGTGGAACTAGGTCGTTGAAACTAATCCTCCCTCGGTCAAAAAAAATTTATAAACATTTAACAAACCTATATACTAGTATAGAGGCAAGTCAAGGATCGAACCATAAGGAACGGTAATGTTCAAGCGCTCTCAATTATGCGCCCAAGATAGGTCGAAGTCTAAGGATTAAAGGTAAACACTAAAACCAACTAACAAAATGAAGAATCAAACAAATAAAGCACTAGGAACGAGATTAACAAGCAATCATGACAACTATAGCAACTTGAAAATACATGCAAGTCAATGGTTGTGAAGACTAATGGTAAGCTCAATCAAAAGAGTCAACAAGCTATCTCCTAGAGGTCAAGCTAGCGCCAACTACGAGAGACTCTAACTAGGAGCATCACTAATCAAGCTCAATCGACAATTGTAATTCCTAAAACAATGGTCAGTATCATTAGAAACTACAATGCAATCTAGCATAATTCTCAAGGCCTAGTCGAATTAAATACATGTAAACTTCCATTAATTCAACGCCCTAGAAATTCCTTTCCTTTAAATACCCATTCTACTCTTTTAAAAATACGATTTAGGAATAACTAAGACATTACCGCCACCGTGAAAACGGCTAAGGCAATTATCAAAGATACACAGCGGAAGACTCAAAATTAAAAGCCGATTAAACAAGTCAACCCAAAGTCAACCAAACAAAAATAAAGTTTAAAACCAAACGAACAAGTCAAATAAAATTAAACTACAACTTGGAACCATTAAAGGCCCTTATTCAAAAACCGTTCCCAAATCAAACCTTTATGTTAGTCCACACATAATATATCATAAATAAATAAAGCATGAAACACATTGTAATCTAATGAAAACTAGTAGGATTCACTCTTCACTCATGCCCCATCATGATCATGCTTCAATACCTGAAAAGTTTATCTCTACTTGTTTCCACTACTCTCCATTAAAAATGGGTCATCATAGGGCCAAGATAAAGACATGGCCAAAAACACAAACACACACAATCAGCAAAGCTGAGTACATAAGCGTAAATTAGCCACACTAACATGCTTTCACCTATCAACACATAATAAACCTCATTGCACCTGTTTACAAACACACCAATCAACATAACACAATGACTAGACACTAATTAATTCATTTTGCATTGATTACGCATCGAACGGGTTTCCACCTCCTAACCTCCCCCAAATAAATTTGAGGTTAACTGGCACGGGAGCTAACCGTGCCAGCGACAAAACCACACAAAGGTGGCGGAATTCCTGCGCATAATAATAAATAATAAAAAAGGAATATACATCGTCCTGTACTCCATTAGAAGTTATGGTTAAATATGAAACCCCATAACTCCCCCCCCCGTTGTTCATACTCAAGGTATATACGTTCCAAGAGTTTTGGTGCGTAATCTCTTTCACTTTACGTTATTTACAGATTATTAGACTTGGTGATGACTCTCAAAGCATAATAAGTCAATCAACAATAATTATACAATCAAACAAACATACCAATTTAATTCTTGAATAATTAGTGACCACATATTATTTATTGTTGAACCCTTTTTAATTCTACCTTAGTGTCAAAGACACTTTAAACGCATAATGCGCCAAAAATCCTATCCCTCGGTGTTAAAAACATCTTAAGTGCACAAAGGCACCAACATACTATTTATTCCTTGTGTACATAGACACTTATATAGCTCCTTCCTCCTGCTTAAAGCATCAATAAAAATTATTTGAACCATAATAAAATTCCTTTTCAATATTCCAAACATAATTAAACATTTAATTTAATAAATCATGCATTCTAACATGCCATAAATAAAAGTGTGGTTCAAACACAACGTGCCCAAAATATAATTTTCCAACCATAAACCATCACAAATAATTCATGCTTCACAATTCAATTACCAACACCATAAATTCACAATCCCATACATAAACCTTAGCATGATACTACTTGTAATTGATTGAAATCAAGCCTATCATGATTCTACATCATCAAAATATGCTAAGTACGCGTACGTACCTTGAGTACATTATTAAAACTGCCACGACTAGTAGAAATCGCTTACTTCAAAGTCTCCTACACATTAAATCCATAATAGAGTATTAATATCCACTCTAAACAAATTTTCAGCAATATATACTATTTTAAAACCCTTCATAATTTAATTCGAATAAGCTAAAATTATATTTAAAACACCATAAATTAAGTCCCAATTAATGGGTAATTAAAATTTCTTCAAGAAACCTAATATCAAGTGTTCTACATAAAATTCCAGCACTTTATTATAATTAAAACTTGCTGTAATTTGGTTTTAAAACACTTAAAACAAAGCCCTACCCTATTATACATCATAATCTTTCAATAAATCATGAATCAAGAACCTAGGGTTTCAAAAATTGGGGCTTTTTAATTAAAAACCAAATCTGAAATTAATTAACACAATTACAATGACCAAACATCAAATTTAAATCTCCAAACTCATAATTTATAATTAGATTATAGCATAGATTAGTTTTAGGTAATAAAGATTTGATTTTTAAAAAGAAAACCCTTTTTTTTTTTCCGGAAAAGCAGGGCTGCCGACAGCAGGGGGCCGGCGCCACTGCCGGTGGTCGCCGCTGCTGCCGGCTGGTGCTGGTGGCCGGCGGCCCACCGGTGGTGGTGGTGGTGGCTGCCGGTGGTGCTGTGCGCGGCAAGAGGGGAAGGGAAGGAGAGAGAAAGAAAAAAAAGAAAGAGAAAAATAAAGAGAAAATGGAGAGAAGTTTACCTTGGGTTTTCTCCACTCTGGGCAACGTTGAATTGCCTCATAAGAGGGATATTTATACCCCTTCTCTATCTCCCCTTTTACCCTAAACTTTCCTCCTTTAGTTTTTCCTAATCCCTTCCCTACTAAAACTTGTTAAAAAAAATCATAATTTCTTAAAATAAAACCCCAACTTCTATTAATTAATTAATTAAACGACCTTTCCTTTTGTAAAATATTTCCAATTTACATGGGATAAATAATTAAAACATCATAATTAAAATGCTAGAGTTATTTAAATACCCTTATAAAATATATATATATATATATTAAATAAAATACGTATAAAATATATGTATATTAAATAAAATACGTATAAAAAATACGGGATATTACAATTAATTACTTTAATCTCAACAATTAATCAATACAATCCCCAAATTAAGCACAATCAATCAATCATACAAGTTTCACCCTATCCCTAGCCAAACAACTACACAAACATCATCATCTAGTCACAAACAATTAAAGAAATCAAGAATCTAAAACCCTTTTATTAAACATGCCAACTTCTGCTACTGTTCCTTGTGAACAGTACCCGCTAATGAATAGTGTTATGACTTATGCCTTTTTAGTCCTTGCGAACGGTGTAATTTTACATCCACTTGCTGCTTGAGTTCTTCTACTTTTCCCCGCTTTTTCCTCATGTCTCCACATATCCAATTCTCCATCAGTCTCTCTCTCTCTAAAAATGCCTAATTGTTATCTGAGCTCTCATTCTCTCTCCTCAATCTCAATTCTTCACTCTTCCACCGGTGACCCTTACCTTTCCATTCCTTCAATCTCGATTTTCGACTCATTCAGTTCTCTGTTGAAGTGGCTTCTTAGCTTTCTCTCTTCCATTGAAGCAGTTTATGAGGTATGCAATTAATTATATAATAATCATCAAATTTCAATTCTACAATTTTGGGGTTTTCGCTAATTTAATTGTCAGTTAGTCAAATTTATGTGGAATTATCGATATATAGAAGTTTTTTCTCTTTAAAATCCAAATTCTCAAAAAAAATAAACCTTCTAATCGACATCAATTTTCAAAATATCCGTGAACTGTTGATCGCCCAGATGAAGAAAAATTTATTTGACTTGACCTCGAAACTCGGCTTTGAGTCCAAACTTGAAAGATGAGCAGTCTTCTCGATAATCCTCTTGTGGGTACGATCTTCTTCTTCAATTTTTTTTTTTCAATTCTTCGATTTTTATTTGTACTTGCTCGTGAAATGATGAAATAGGTATTTTGTTCTGGATTTTGGAATGTAATTGAGTTCGATTTTTTATTTTTGATAATTGTTTTTACGATTAAATTAATAATTGAATGATCAGAGATTTACTTGAAGGCGGTGATGATAAATAATAGTTTGATAGTAATCAATTTTCAGTTTGATTTTTGAAGGCATTCTTGCTTTGGGTAGTTTGCCATTTGGTTTAATTTGGCAGCAATATGATGGGTGTTTTGCATGTTGATGGGGTTGAAATTTTCTCTCTCCTCAAATACGCATCTTTTCAGGTTTAGTTGGCCGTCATGGTTGATTTTTTCCTTGCTTGAGTTGCAAAACCAAAATTTTTGTTTGAAGCTATGCTGATCTAAGCCTCCTCTGTCAATTTATTTATTTAATTTTTTTTTGTCAGAACTCATTATTTGTCATGAAAAAATGAATTCGATGATTTGAAGATGTTTTGATGGACAAATTTTAAGTTCAAATTGTTTTAGAATTACTGAAAGTCAGATGGCAAAGGTTGATTTTTTATGTTTAAATTTGATGAACATGACTAGAGAAGACAATTGGTTATGTATGAGGGTAAAATTTATTTGAAAGCTAGGATTCGATGAGAATTGTATCACTTATGCTTCTTAAAACATATATTGTGAGGTTGTGTTGATCAAATAGCGCAGATTAAAGCATATACTATGAGGTTGTGTTGAATTGTTGATCAAATAGGGGAATGAATATGCTTTGTCCCCTATCTCTCACTCTCCTCCATTGAAGCGTACTCTGAATTCTCTGTTGAAATGGCTTCTGCCTTTGTAAGCTTTCTCTCCTTTATTGAAGGAGGTTCTGAGGTAAGATGTTTTTCTTAATTAGTGACCATCAGTTTATAATCTAGGGTTTAACGTTGATTAATACCAAGAATGAGGCAGGGAGAGGTAATGGGAGTTTCCCAATGACCGTTTTGCCCCTCTCCTTAGGCGACCATTGTTTACGGTGGTTAGCTTTTGCAGGTGATTTATCCAGACACTGTTAAAACGGTCCTCAAACAATCTATTTAGAACCATAGCTGCTTTATCTGTCTATCTGATCTGTGACTGTTTAACTCTGCTGAATGCCTGATTGCATGCTTCTTGACCTTCTAACCACAAAAATCACCAACCATTATAGGCTGTGATGAGTGTACACCATTCAAAGTAGTTAAATTTAATATGGAGAATTATTTGAGGTTTTGGGTGATTTTTTTTTTATTTGGCTTGGCAGAAAGATCAATTGTTGGTTTATTTTATACGATGTATTATTTTTATTTTGTGGTTTGGTTTAGTTAGACTTTGGAAATTATTTGGCCCAATCTTATTGATTGCCGCCATGGTTGATTTTACCAACTCGAAACCACCAGATTATTTGATGAAATGTGGATCTGAGCCTGTTGTTAAAAAAAAAAAAAGTTGCATTGTTGAATTTTGGTAATACTTTTACAACTTTTTAAAGTCACCCCAAGCTACAGTGCTACACTTTAACATATGTGGAGTACATATGATATAATATTGTAGTTCTTTATAGTTTGAATAATAGCTATGGTTCCCTTATTTTTGGACATGTTAGTTTGAAATAATGTCTTGATTCGATTATGAATGTTAATGCACAAAGCATTGAAGGGTATCAGTATTTTCTGCAATGTTTACAAATAGAAGACTTATATGTAATTAGAACCGGAAATAGAAATGGATAATTAACTGAAGATACTTTAGTTTCTGAAAAATCATAGTGAACATCCTTCTTGGAACTTTGGTTGCAATATAACATACTATGGAGTACATTGGACATGAGAACAAGGTTTGGACTTTGGACTGAATGCAGGTGTCAATCTTACGTTGTTCAAGTAGTAACTTTTCTTGAAGGTATTCAAAGTGTCCTGGTTTCTTATCATGATAATTTACCTATTGTGGTTCGATAAAGAGCCTGAGTTTCATAAAGCCTGATAGAGATTATTAGCTTTTCCTATGTTTCCTATGCGCAGCTGATTTCCAGCATACATCTCTGTCCTCTCACTCTCTCCTCCATTGTGGCGCACTCCGAGTTTCCCATTGAAGCGTTATCTAAGCTTCCTACATTGAAACTTCTTGTGATCTGAGGTAAATTTTTATCCTTCTTTATGACCATTGAGTATGAATTTGACAATCTACGGTTTAATTCTACTCATTGTTTCATTTAGTTGTTAGTATAATCAATATAGGGAATCATTGAAATATTTTTTTTCTAATTACTGAAGTTATGAGCTATTATAATGAATAATTTTGTTGCTACTTTTTGCTATGTGTGTGCGATTTAATCTGATTACATGAAGAATTATATGAATCATGAAATTTGGCCGGAAAATATTTTTAAAGTCTGACTAATAATTATATGTTATACCCTAATTTTTTAATTTTTTTTAATAAATATTCTGGTTTAAAGATTTGAATTACAAGGATGAAGGATTGAAATCATCGAAATATTGATCATCGTGTAAAAATGTATATAGTATATGCAAGCTTGACTGTAGGAGCGGATTCAAAATTGCATCCAATGTTCTTTTGTCTTGAGGTGATTGGAAAACTGAGCGTCTTTGATATAGGGATGTTTGATTGTAATGCGCTAACTGCTAAGTGCTAGAAACTTAACATACTTGATTCTTTGGTGCAGTATTGCTGCCAGATGGCCTCTTGTACAGATTTGTCAATTATGCTATTTACAAAATCAATGCAGTGTTGCTAGTATACTAATCATTTTGTATTTCGCAGTAGAGTAGTAGAAACTATTAACTAAGAATGCCGGGGAGAAGACTATTGAGTGGTTAGACAAGTTAGGAAATTCAAATGGTTCTCTTCCAGCATCCCAAATCCGTTTGAATATGCTACAAGTAAATGCAAAATAATGGTATGATTCTTCGTACGCATAGTACATTGGAGTAAGGTATGCTAATGCTTGTGATTCTTGTATTGGATGTTTCTCGTTTTTAGTAATGTTGCTCATCCCAATATAATTCGCCTTTTTGTAGCCATTGAGGTTGAGATTATCATTGTAGCCATCCCAATATTATGTCCATGCTGATTAATTATGTTTGTCAGACCCGAGATTGATGCTTGTTGGCAATTGTAGGCCTCTATTCATATATCTAACTCTCTAGAAAGCTATTATAGTAATTGTAAACAGCTGTGAATATGGTCGTGTCTTTGGGTGGGTATCAATATGGATGCTCTAAATTTTATTGAAATAAATCCGGACCTTAATTGCTAGCCCAAGGAAAGTTATTGCTAGCTGCTTACTGAATGCAATATTTGATAGATTAGGTAGCTGAAGTATATCTCAAGGAAGAAAGTGGCTAATAGATGGTGGGCTGAAAATCAACCAATATTATGTTTCCCTCTTATGCAGCTTATTACTTCTTCGAGCACCAATTAATCTTTGTCATGTTTTAAGGATTCATGCTCTGTCCATGAATAGTATGTGGATGATGTGGTACAAGCTAATTGGTGTTACTTGCAGAAGTCAAATAAGCTAAGGGGAAGTATAATAACACAAAATCTAATCCAATTTTATTACTAAATTTGGGTTGATGATATTTTGCAATTATATGAATAGTTATAAATTTTTTTGGGTTTCCTTTGTAAGAATATTTGTATTAACCACTTATCTAAAACCAATTATGTTCTTGAAATATTTGTAAGATTATTTGGCATATTTTTCTTTTCTTTGTGAATACTTATTTCCTATCCTTCTCACCTTGTCAGCAATAGAGAAGGTTTTATTTATTTGATTATTTATTACTCGTAGTTTAATAACAAGTTGTCCCAATTGACATTTTTGTACGTACGTAGTGTCTATGACTTTGATTTGCGTTGTCACCATAGCTGCAATGAACAAGGCACCAGCGCTAACGCTTCTGTTCAAAATAAAGACAATGATTCTGTTGCAGCATCTTAGTAGAAGGGTGTTGATTGTCCGTCACAGAGAGAGGAAGAAATATAAAGTGAAGCTATTGACTTTTGGTATGCTATTTGTTATACTATTATTATTTACTTACACACTTATTGTACGTTTTAAATTCCATACTGTAATTTTAGGTATACAATCTTCTTAATCGCGCCCATCTTGTAAAAGAAGGAAGCATACGATCCAAGTATTTTAAAAGAAGCAGTTACCATAGGGATTATTAAGAACATGTTTAAAAACAGTTCCTCCTTTAATAGTTTGTATCTTTAACCCTTTCTATAAATATGAGCAATTCAGTTACTGTTGCTTAGGAACAGTACTCGGGTTACTATTGCTTAGGAACAGGGGACTTCCCTTTGTGCCCTTAAATTTTTTTTTGTTTTCCTGATTTTCCTCTGATCCTCTTATTTTATCGTTTGAGAACACGAGGCTGCTTTCCCCCTTTTCCTTTGAAGCATACTCTCAGTTAGCCTCCTCCATTGAAGTGTTCCTCTGAGTTCTCCTTTGAAGTGGTTTCTGATATGTCTATTTGTTTTTTCGTCGACACCGCTACTGAGGTAAAGATGTTTTCTGATCTTAGGGTTTATTGCTACTAAAGTACCAAAAATATCTATTTTCCGCCTTGGTGGTGGTGGGTGGGGGTGATATGATGGGAATAATGGGATCATGAGTTTCATGCCGCTATCTTACTCTAAAAACCTAATTGTTTATCAATATTCCCCAATTCTTTGCATCAAAATTTCAAAGAATCACAAAACCCCGCCAATAAAATCATCATTTTGTGGGTTATGGAAATTAGTGTAAAATTGATTACCTAATTAAATGGATGACCAGCTGATATTTCTGGCAGATGCGTGTGGAAGTCTGGCGAAAGAGCAGCAAGCAACAGGAGTTGCAATTCTGCTTCAAATTATGATGCTGCTTCTTGCTTATGTACTTGGTCATGTTTTGCGTCGCCATAAATTTTATTATCTTCCTTAAGCTAGCGCTTCTCTTTTGATTGGTATAATTCTCCCTCTTTTGATTTATTGAACTAAGTATTTTTTAATTAATGTTGATTTCATGTTCTGAAACCCTTTGATTTCATGTTCTGAAACCCTTTGATTTTCTTAAATTTTGATACTTGGGTGTATATTCAATGCTGAACTTATTAATTTGATAGCCCAGTTGCTTGATCTGATCCAATTTGTTTTATTTAAGTTGATTTATTAAGTGGGGTTTGTTTGATTTTTGAGGTGCCCATTTTTAAAATTTTTTTGGATTGAATTGTAGTTTAAAATTGAACAGATTTTTCTGGGTCTGAGAAAGTTGAATCTGGGTGTGTTGATTTGTTGATTTTTCATAATTTATAGGGTTTGGGAAGTGTGAGAAGCTAATCTATTGACTGTATTGAGGATAAAGAAGCTGATTGTGTGATAAAGGTGAGCAATTTCTCAACTTTATACAATTTGGTTTATTTCAGATTATTTATTAATTGGGGTTTGTTTGATTTTTGTTTCTCTTTTTAATTTGCTTATATGCATATGGTGTTTGCTGCCAAAATTTATGTTGTCAACTTAGATATTGTTGTTGTGAGTGACTATAGAGGGTAGTTGTTGTTTGTTGCCGCTGTTGTTCCGGTGCTGTCCTGTTACTGCTGTTCTGTTCATCCAAAAATCATCGACCTGAATTTGTTTTTAGCTCATAGTCTCTCCATCAATGTTTTAGATCTTGAAAAGTTATTCAATCTAGGCTCAAGAATTTCTCGATTTGGAGTTATGTGCTAGGAGTTATGCCTTCTGGAATTTACTGCGGTCTGCTACCCCGGTTCTATCGCAGCGGGTTGTTATTGCTCATTTCATGCCTATGTGGTGTTGTTGTGTTGAGTTGGTTGGGGTGCTAAAATGAATGCTTGGGCTTCTCTTATTTATTTTGTCTTCCCTTCCATTTATTTACACATTAGTTATAAAGTTAAAATGTGGCCAATTTTGATTAATGACTATTTGGATAATGACTAATTGATAATTTGCCAAAATGATGAGGATTATGTAAACAATAGAGATTTGATTTCTCAGCATTCTAAAGTTAGGGCCTTATTTATTTTTTTGATTAAGATCGTTAAGCTTGCCCAGTTTTAAAGACCTTTTCATATATTTTTTTTTTTCCGGGGAAGGTGTTAGCTTTAAGAGGGTCGGTTTACCCTATATGACCACTCTCTTTGATTTAATTCATTTGTTGTTTCTTCACTGAGCTAGGTGGTTTAGGTAATGAGTTCTTGGAGCTTTATTTTGCTCTTTCATGCTGATTGGTTTTTGTTATAGGACTTTTACTTGGAAAAACGAGCTTGGTGTAAAGAACACTATGACGATTATGATCTTTACTTACATTGATTGCTCAATTGGAACAGATCTGAATTGTAATTTTGATAATTTGAATATTAAAAATGTGTGTTCTTATATACATTTCTGTGTAAATTAGCTTAATCAATTATTATAAGGTACCCTGCAAGAAATTTGTGATGTTAATATCTTATAGATGCTAATCTACTTTATCATACACCTTGTTAGCCATATGAGACCACTGTGTTAGTGTGTATTTGTGCAAAAAGGTTCTTCAGAGATAGTGCTCAGGTTCATTCTTAAGGTTAGTTATATAAAAATCTTTGGAAGTTGGAACTGAGTGGGAATTTGGGGAAGTTCATGATAAATCAATCCAAAATGGAAGGCCATGCGAAAGGGCCAGATTTACTTGTGTATCCAGTCAAACCCTGGATAAGCTTATAACTGTTATTAAACGGGACAAAAGCAATAGAGGGTGGGTTAGGGGTCTCTAGACTACAGAAATGATCTGCATTATCTGGGTATGAGAGGTCATTTAGGTATAGGGTAAAGCTGATATGATACATGTTTCTAAAGAAACTGTTAAAGCTGTTGCTGACTCTTTGAGGATTTCTGCTTTTCTAAAAATTTTCGAGGTTGGTTTGTGTTTTTTTCCTTTGGTGTTAAGATATATATATTGATGTTATAATTATCTTTTTAATATGCATCATTTGGACAAGTTGACAAAATTATTATGATTAGAGTTTTAAATGGTTCATATTGTAACCAGTTATATTATGATAATTGATTTTTTTTCCCCAGTTTTGATATTGATATTTTTATCTGTACTTTTTTTGCTTTTGTTATAGAATGGGACTTCTGAATAGATGGTGAAGATAGTAGAAACACTCAATGCAGGTAAAGGTCATGTAAAAGGTTGGGAGTCTACTTTATGAAGACTTGGGAGAAAGAAATTTGATATAGTTTTTTTTTTTTGAACGGAATTTGATATAGTTCATGAAGCAGCTCAAATCAAAGTAATACACATTATTCAAAAGAGTATCAGAGAACTTAAACTACTTGATTTAATTGCATATAGTGCATATAAGATGTAAGCATTAAATATCTCGCAGGACTCTGCTAAAACTATTGATCATGTCTCACAAGGTAGCTTCTTGGACATGTTCCAAATGAAGCATGCTTTTGGACTTACAATAAGTCTTGTGTTCATGGAACGAGCATCATGTGGTGGAACAAATGGTATTTTGTTTTATGCAGCTACAACTTTATAAATGTGGAAGACTATCAATTTTACTGGTGAGTATCCTATGTGATGTAACATATATCCTGTGCTTTTATACTACGTATATGATTTTCTGTATTATTTGGCGATTCAAGGTTATTTGTCGCAAAATCTGGATGTCCTTTGTGTCCTATGTTTTTGTGCAAATATGAGAATTTACTCAACTTTTGAATTATTTTCCATAATTCTTCATGAATTTTACAAAGTAAAATAGCCATGATGGAAGAATTGAAACAAGAACATTTACATAATTACAGTATGCATGAAGAAGGCTTCAACAATAATTTAAGATGTTCATGGTGAGTTTGAAGCTATCTTATGCGAAGTACTTCAATATCCATTCACGTTAATGGCACTGACACTTTTATCTTTTATGCTTTTGCTACTTTTGTTTCTGTTGTTGAGGAATTGTGGATTGGGATGGGATGTTTCTTATGGACTATACAAATGTGATGTCATCTTGTTGTAGTATTATAGTTGAACATGTACCAATGTCATACTCAAATTTCCCTTGTTTCTTGCAAGTATATGACAATGAAACTAATGTTTTTTCAGGCTGAATACATGCAATATTAAAACTTCAATATGCATTATGAGTCTGACTATGCAGAAACCTCTTGATCTCCAACTTTCAGCCGGTGAATTTAGTGGCCAATGTGTTGATGAAGTTATAAAGAAGATTATAAATGGTAGAAATAACAATAATTGTAAATTTTATGTTCTTGGTGGAATTATATTATTAATTTTTACAAATTCTCACACTACATATTTGGCTTGTGCTAAAATTATTGTTTAGCTTAGGATTAATTAATTCTAGCATTTACTCTCTCTAGACCACTACCATGTACTTAGGTTGTTACAATCAATCTGATCAAATTTAAAATGGCTAGAGATTTGGGTGAATGAGGCTCACTATAGATGGACAACGTTTGAGTTTTCGCATTTGTCAATGAACATTTTACATCATTTACTTTAGTAAAAATTTATAAAAACTTAATATGTTAAAATTTAACAAGATCTCATTTGATCATGTTTTTTCTAATGTGGAGAGAGAAAGGGGTATGTCGAGAGGGAAGGAGCCAAGTTAGAGAAGAGTTGAAAAAGAAAGAGTGATCAGCTGAAAGATATAAGGACCGAGAAAAAAGGCCCGGGAATGAGAAATTATTTATCTTAAAATTTTTTGTAGATAAAATAATAAGTACATACCAATTTTTTATTCTCAAAATCTTTGTATTAATAAACCAGTTATTTCATGAGAAATTAGAATATACGGAGTAATGGTTACTCAAGGAGAAAATGTCCATAAATATATGATGAACATACAAAAAACAATAAAAACAACCATCAAAAGTTAATACCGATAACTTGGGGAACCGCGCGCAACGCGCGTGGGTCCACAACTAGTCATCAAAATATAGAGAACAATTACACTCATCAACAATCAAACATCAAAATCAAACCAAACAAATATGAAATCAAACAAAGCAATAAATGAGATAGAGTTAGAAATGCTCATTGATAATAGAGAAGATCTCCAACACAATTGTCACCATTGAATCTTCAATCTCTCAATCACCACTGAAATTCCTCACTTTCTCTCTCTAAAATCTACTCCTAAACTAACCCTAAAACTAGGGAGAGAAGCTCTCAACTAAGCTAAAATTATGATAAAAATGTGAAATGAAGCTTATTCTAAACTTGCCCCAAAAATCGGGTTAACAAAGGTATTTATAGAGGCGCGAAAACAAAAACCGAGCAAACAAATACCCAGGAAGGCGCGCCCGCGCTGCACGGGAGGCGCGCCCGTGCTGCAGGGGTAGCGCGCCCGCGCATCTCTGGGTTTCTCCAAATTTCTCGCGGCTTCGTGCGTTCGCTAAGGTCGCACAATTACGATGATGATGAACACTAAGAGAGGCAGTCCCAAAAGCACTTGATTGTGGGTTCAACACCCCATCTTCATGAGAGCATTGCTTGAGAGCGCAAGAGCTAGAACTTGGAGAATCCACTTCCTTGCATCTTGAGCTTTCCAATTGCCATGAGCTTACTCCAAAAGCATATCCCACCTTAGTAATTCACCAATAACAAGACCCGAACCTCGTACAATACCTACAACCACGAGAATAGAGCAAATAAAGGAGAAAAGAGTAGAAAAACAAACAAAATGCATAAAAGCTACAAAATAAGAGAGGAAAGGTAAAACCAAGACCAAATGCACAAAACTAAGCGTTTATTAAGCATGAAAGCTATGAAAAGAGGAAGAAAACAACCTAAATTCTCATCAAATGGGTGCCATTATGACACCCATCAAATACCCCCAAGCTTACCTTTTGCTCGTCCTCGAGCAAAACAAAACCAAGGGAGAAATGATGAGCTTATTAAAACAAACAAAAAGAAGAGAAGAGACAAGAATATACACTAACTCACTTTTGCAAGAATCACGGTCAATTTTAGCAACTAAAGACAAGCCATTTAAACCCCTAGATCGCCCTAGAGGACGAGTGATGCTCTCTAAATGTTTCCTAGGAGATTAACCTATAAATCTCATAGTAATACAAACAAGGCAAAGCATGAAAAAGAAACCAAAATACAAGAAAAGCAAACAAATGTTCATTAAAGGACTTTTCCAAATGTACAAGTACAAGTGAATGCAAATCTTTCTAAACAAATAAGGGAGTGCACGTTTCAAGATACCCTAGTTTATTGAAACATAAATATGCTAAGCATAGGAACTAGAGAAACGCAATCCACTTTCATCCCAAACGGTCTTACTGCGTTCTCCTTAATAGTCTCATATCTTCCCCTAGTGAGCATCTCAAAAGTTCCGTGAAGGAACCGGAAAAAGAGATAATTTTGGGCTACTCGACGTCTTGACAATGCATCCCCTTTCCTTTGGCTTTAACTCATAATTCCCTCCCCCGATATATGACTCAACCACTAGGTCAAAAGGACTTTCCCAAAGGTTGTAACGAAAGGGCAAAAATGGTGAGGGTAGGCTTAAAATTTGAAAATTTGGCGGTATTCCTAATTAGTGAAGCAAAGGGTGATCAAACCTTCTCCTCATAACCAAGCAATCGCCAAACAAAAACAAACTAACTCCCCCAAGCTTATTCAAAGCTATAACCACAATCATATATACAAAAAGCGTAAACGCTTCTCCCCTAAGCTTAAAGGAAGCATTGTCTTCAATGCTTGAAAAGGGGAAAAGAATCACATCAAAATATTTTTGTTTTTTCTTATTTTCACTTTATTTGTATTTTCATTTCTTTCAAAGCAATTGTCTAGGCCTCTTTAACTTAGGACGACTTTTACAATATTTGCATTTGCATTGTCCTTGCCTTTTTTTTTTTTTTTTTTTTTTACTTTGGACGACTTTTTTCATTTATTCATTTGTCATTATTCACACAAATATCACAAAATAAACTTGCTTTCAAGAGAACCAAATATCCAAACTCCTCCACCAAAAATCCAACAATAATGATCAATTGCTTCACAAAACCAAGAATGAAAACGAAAATGAAACAAAAGGCTCAATATCTAAAGATGTGGCTTGAAAAGAAGGGAAAATGCTCAAATGGTTAGCAAGAAGGCAAATGTACGTAAACCCAATGAACAAAAAGGATAGAAAATTAACCTAGAAAAGAAAAATTACCACCCCGAAAAGATGTCTTTGTCCTCCGTAGATGGCTCGGTCTCGAGTTTGAGAATTATGAGTTAAGTTTCTAGATTAGGTCCGCAATAGTCAAGGATCCATGCCGCTCAAGCAATTACATGTTGAAGGCTTGAAAAATAAAGAACCTCACATGGATGTAGCAAAAACTCACTATTGGTGTCAAATCAACTATAGGGAGCAACTACCATCATGCCACAAACAAGTAGAATCCGGTTTCATGGTCCCACTAGTTCTAACCAACTACCTTAGCATGCTTTATCCTAGAATCAACCAAGCGTACTCTCAAACCGTGCACACCGTTACCATTTAAGAAGAAAAGCATTCAACTATACAAGTCCAAAAGTATTATGTCCAAAGCAAGAACAAAACAAAAACACATTTGTAGACACCCATTTGTGTCTCCCCAAAACCAAACCCAGTGATGAGTACCTTTCATGTCGAATCGTAATCGAATGAAGCGAAAGTGTGGAAAGTTTAGTGTTGCGGATAATTTTAATTTCTTTTCTCTTCTCTCTGTTTTTGAAAACTTATTTTAAGAAAACAACCAATCCAGTTTGGTTGGTCCATGATATGGGTCCAATAGTAGTGTAGTTGGATGGGGCTTGCAAAGACCTTTCCAATGATATATTATAAGCCCAATTCTGATGAATATTGAGGAAGTTATGACCAATTTACTAAACTGGGCCCGGTTTGAGCCTTATATGCGGCCCAATGATCTAGAGGAGGGCCTAATATGATTTATCATTCCTAATGCAATTAGGAATGATTTTAGTCTTCTAGATTCTTCTAGAAGGTTCTTTTCATTCCTAATTCAATTAGCATTGATAAATTGTCTTTTGTTGACTTTTCAGAGTTCTAATTAAAATCAAAGAGCATTTTTGAGGAAAGATACGATTTTATCCTCCTGTACTGCAATATTTATCTGATTTTAGAAAACGCATGAATTTCTGAAATCAGCGCCAAACGCCAACTGTAGCGCCTGGCGCTAGTGTTGGCGCTTGGCGCTAGTGTTGGCACCTGGCGCCAACAGCCAGCGCTGGCGCTGGTTCGTTTTTCTGTGCGCCAATGCTCTGTTTTAATAATTTATCTTTTTGGCTGATTTTCTCTATAAATAACGTCGTAAAAACTCCGTTTTCATTCACCAATTCTCATCAACATTCATCTACATTCACCTACCACTAGTTTTCAATTCTCTCATTCTCTTTAATCATTCACCATCTTTCTCTCTCTTTTTCTAAACTAGCTTTTTACATACAAAATTCCGCATTCATTAGATCTAGAAACACCTAACCATATTCGAAGTTGCCTTTTCCCTAGACGTGAAAGGTTTAATTTCTGAGGGTTTGGTCCCAAATATCTCTTTCAATTATTTAATTTAATTGTTTTGTTTATTATTTTCCTTGAAGTTACTAACGTGTGTATTTTGTTATTACAAAGAGGTAGGCATCAAAGTAAGTACTTTAATGGTTTTTATTGATGTTATGATGTAGAAATCATGTTTAAGTTGTTATTAATTCCTAGTATCATGTCTAGGTTAATTTTAATATTAAATATGATTGCTATGATGCCTTTTATTTTCTTCCTAATATTTATGATTGTTAGTATCATGTTAGGGTTAAAGATTTGATTTTTATCGCTTAGTGACATGCTAGGGTTTGTTATTAATCTTGTTAGTATCATGCCTAGGATCTTGCTATTATTATGCTTTAACATGATTATTTTAATTATGATTATAGTTATTATGACTATTATTATGTTGCTTGATATTTATTGTTATTGCTTGATCACGCCTTTTATGCATGTTTAAAGGGAATTGGAAGGAGAAAGGTATTGGCCAAGGGTGCCCTGCAATTTGGATCCCCCTCCAATCAAAATTGGCCCTGGAAGGCCCAGGAAGAACAGAATCAAACACCCACTTGAGAATCCTAAGAAGATAGGCTCATTGACTAGATTAGGGATTGAGATGACCTACAACATTTGTAATTCAAAGGGTCACAATAAGAGGGGGTGCCCAGACAAGGGATCTGCAGCAGCTACTGAACCACAACCTAAAAAACCAAGAGGCAGGCCAAGAGTTGAACCAACACCAACTCCAACAGACCACCCCTCACAGATGGATTCTGCAGCAACTACTACAACACCTGCAACTGCAACACCTTCCTCAGCCCATCACAGTGCTCCTGTACTACCAAATCTTATTGGCAGGGGTGGTAGAATGATTCTGGGAGGTGAAGTTGCTAGGTCAAATGGAAGAGGTAGGGGAAGCCAAGCTGGGAGAGGTACTCA